TTCTATTCTATTCTGAAAAAGGAGAATGTCCATCAAAAGAATAATAATTTCACAGCAAAGCAGCAGCTGAATTGTATCAGTGGGTGTAAAGAGGGATGCTGACAGAAGACCTCAGGCTGGTTTTAAATAAGTTATTGATCTTGTAGCTCCTGTGGTGATTTTCTGTTACTGTATTTCATCATTATTTTTGTTATTAACTTACAAAACAACTGGTCTTAATCTTTCCACCTAATTTAATTTCTGCGGGTTTTGATTTATTCTGAAGTTAGCTTTTTAATGTGCTTTTTATTTCCCTCAACCAGGTGGGCTCTTTCTTCATGATCAACTTGTGCCTCGTGGTCATCGCCACCCAATTCTCGGAGACAAAGCAAAGAGAGAACGCCCTGATGAGGGAACAGCGCGCTCGCTTCATGTCCAATGACTCGACCCTGGCCAGTTACAGTGAGCCAGGATCGTGCTACGAGGAGATGCTCCGATATATTAGTCACCTTTACCGCAAATTTCGACGCAGGCTGCAGAGGATGTACTACGGCTGGCACAGGTAAAACTCCTTGAAGAAATAAACATTGCCTTGGAAGGCAGAGGGTTAACTTTTCCTGTTTTCACTTATGTTTTGTGTCACATTCTTCGAACAGCAAACGACGTAAAAAGGTAAACCCGAACGGCAGTGGGTGTGGCAGCAACGGTGGCGGCAATGGTCATGGCCAGGGTTCCAGCAGAGTCTCTGGTCCGGGCACCGCAATCTGGCTGAGGCCGATCCACAACCTCCTGCAGAACCATCAGCATCAACACTGTCGCCTTAGCAACGGCGGGCAGCACACAGTCAGCGTGATGTCCACTGAGCACATGGACAAAGAGGGAACCGGGGAGGAGCTGGAGATGAAGGTCCGGGAAGGAAGTACAAATGGAAACGGCGGGGACAACCCGACCGTCGTCACTCAGGGAGTTGGGTCATTGCTCGGGCGACTAAATGGGGGGATGAACTATCCGACTATCCTGCCATCCTTCGTGTGTAGCTACAGCAGTAAGACGCCACCTTCTCACTCAAAGCAGAGCGGGCGCAGTCCGGAGCAGCGACCGCCAACGTCTGAACACACAGAGAYGCTGGCCAAGCTTTACCAACTCATGGGACAGCACAGTAAGGACAAAAACACACAAACACAACACTAGTCCTCAGTTCTGGTCCTAGAGTGCCACTATCCTGCATGTTCTCATTCTTTCTGTGATTTACAGCAGGTACAAAAACATGGTCATCACTTGTTTATTCAAAGTTAATAAATACAGCGGGTAAAATAAGTATTGAACACGTCACCATTTTTCTCAGTAAATATATTACTA